ATTGAAGAAATTCATCGTTATTCTCTACACATCGAAGTAGTCAAAGGACTAAGCACTTAATGGGCTGTATAATTTTCAATTTTTCATTTTTTTCTCAGAATACTTCAAAAAAGCGATATAATTCTTGCAGATAAAGTCGTGGACTTAAATCCATATAGTCTTATTCCTATTTTTGTGATGGAATAAACTTTTTAAAAAATTAGTCAATTATTAAGGATCTATTGCTACTCAATCCTCAAAATACTATCTAGAACGATTACATGGACAATTAAGTGACATCTATTGACATAATATCTAGTTGGTCAGCCAGTTGTATCTCCAAAGAAATATTTACACAAAATAAACTCGCTCTGATTAAAAAAAAACTTTTTAATAACTCTCAACGATGTATGACAAGATTATTTTCTCACTTTCAACATTACCAGTAGAATTTATCTATCGAATTTTCGATGAACTTGACGATTGGTCTATGTTATGTTCAGCACAAAATATTTGTATTAGAATTAATACAATTCTTAACAGCTACCATCGGTATCAGGTTAATTTCTTCTTCCGCTCATTATATTCCAAGAATCTAAAATTCATAAACTCAGTCCCTATACATTTAATAGACATTGACTACACTGGATCTCTTGTCCAAAAAGATCGGTGACGTTGGAGCAGAACGTCTTGCTATTGCTCTACAACAAAACAAAGTAGAATTCTTATTCTCTTCTTGAATTATTCACTCACTACTTCGCACAGACGCTCAGCACATTGAATCTTAGTGCTAATAAAATCGGCGAACAAGGAGCCAAATATATCGCTAATAGTCTTTCACAAAATAAAGTAACATTTTTACTATCTTCTTATATTACTCACGCATTATATTGCATAGACGCTCACTACACTCATTCTCAATTCTAATCAAATTGGAAATCTAGGAGCATATCATGTTGCTATTGCTCTGCAAGAAAACAGAGTAACATTATTGTTTTCTCTTTATATTACTCACTCACTCACTATTCACATAGACACTCAAAACACTATCCCTTACTTTCACTTATATCGATGCGGAAGGAGCACAATACTTTGCTAATGCTTTGCAACAAAATGAAGTAATATTCTTACTCTATCCTTACATTACTTACATATTACTTGTCATAGACACTATCTACGTTAAATCTCAGTATGAATAAAATTGGTGATCTTGGAGCACAATATCTTGCTAATGCTTTACAGCAAAATAAAGTAATAATTTGATATGTTCTTTGAGTCATTCATTCATCAATGCATATAGACACTCACAACACTCATCATCCTGGCCAATCAAATCGGTGACCTTGGAGCAGAATATCTCGCTAATGCTCTCAAACAAAATAAAGTAATATTTTTAGTCTCTTCTTAGATCACTCATTCACTACGTCAAATAGACACTCACCACAATCGACCTCCATAGCAATACTAGCATCGGTGACCAAGGAGCACATCATTTTGCTAATACTCTACAAGAAAATACAGTAACTTATTCATCCTTTCTCTGTATTAGTTATTCTTCACTTTATATATAGACACTTACTACATTGAACATCGGGTGGAATTGCGTTGGTGTCACAGGAATTGAACATTTTATTAATGTTCTCCAACAAAACAAAGTAATATTCTCATTTCACTTCTTAACATTGCACATTCACTTTTTTCACATAGTTACCTATCACAATTGATATTAGATTCAATGGAATGAATTACCAAGAAGACCAGCATATTCGAAACATATTGAAGGATTATCCAGAAATAAACTTAATTTTTTTAGACTTATGAGTAGGATAATGATAATACACGTTATCATGAGAGTGTGGGTGTGTTAGAGAGAAAAACACCTATACTTATACCTTAAACATGTACTAATTTACCATTTTCAAAAATTTCATTTGCTCAAAATATTGATTATGATAATAATCATAGAAAATGGTTTAGATTCTGGTGATACATATATGGTTTTATTAGATTTTCATTTGATGCTTTCATTAATCAAAACATCATTAGAAACTATTCTAGATTATGAAAGAAAACATAATGAACATAGAGATTTAAACATGCTATCACCATTGTATCGAATAATAGAAGTTTTACATACGAACTTTTCAATAAAGTTTCGTTGACAATTTCTCAATCGAAATAAATTGTGATAATAAAAAAAGACAAGGGAGAGTGTTACAAAAAGTGAAGATAAAACGATTATTTGCACAGCGAATCACGTCCACGTGCTCGTTTTTTCTCTCTTTTTTCTTAGGCTGAATCGGCGGCCGTTATATACTTCTATCGAGATAAATTACAATAGAGAAAAGATAATAACATATAAAACAGATATAAACTATTACAGGTTAATAATATCATTATTGTAAAATGGAGAATAATAAACTTCCAAGAATCGTCTTGGGCTGTGGAACAATGGGTCCTCCAGGTACTAATTGGGCAAGAGTTACTACTGTAGCAGATACTAGAGCGATGTTCAAAACTTTTCAATCGTACGGTCATACTGAACTTGATACTGCACGATTATATAGCGATGGTAAACAAGAAGCTTTTACACGAGAAACAGGCATACTCAGTGAAAATGCATATATGACTATTGCTACGAAAGTGTATCCAACGGAAGCCGGTATGCACAAACCAGAAAGATTACGTCAGCTGTTTGAAACGAGTCTTCAAGAATTAGGCCAACAATCAGTAGAAATTTTTTATCTTCATGCACCTGATCGTAGTGTTCCATTTGAAGAAACTCTTGAAGAAGTTAATAAATTTCATAAAGAAGGTAAATTCAAAATATTTGGATTGAGTAATTATGCTGCTTGGGAAGTAGCTAAAATTACTGAAATTTGTATTTCTAAACAATGGATTCGTCCAACAGTTTATCAAGCTATGTATAATGTTCTGACACGTGCTTTGGAAGAAGAACTTGTACCTTGTTGTCGACATTATGGAATTAATATTCTTGCTTACAATCCGTTAGCTGGTGGTGTTCTGTCTGGACGATATAAATCAGCATCGCAAATTCCAGATAAAGGTCGTTTCGCCGATGTTGAAGGAAATATTTCAGCTAAACTGTACCGTGATCGATATTTCAAAGATGCTTATTTCGATGCTCTTAATTATATAACACCAGTAATAGAAAAACATGGTCTTACACTTATTGAAACAGCATATCGATGGCTTTTACATCATTCAAAATTACGTCCTTTCGATGGTGATGGAATTGTTATTGGAGCAAGTAGTATTGAACAATTAGAATCAAATTTAATAGATTTACAAAAAGGACCACTTCCAGATGAAGTTGTTCAAGCATTGGATGAAGCATGGAGT